GGCTTCTCTACATAGTATTTTGAGATTTGATTTAATTAACAATCACATTCCCTTTCACTTAACAGAGTTCTTTCTATAAGGGCAGCTTCTTAAAATAGTAGTTCTCAACCTTGGTCTGTATTAACCTCACCTTTAGAAATTTACAAAAAATACTGGTATCCATGTATCATTCTCTATCCTGATTCAGTAGATCTCATCTTAGTCCTCTTTATTTCTTAAAAGCATCATGTTTAACTACTACCGACAGAAGTCATTTCCAACTCTGCCTGCCTTCCATTCACCTTGCTGCCACTAAGTTCAGAAGCCTGTCCCTTTGGCAAGTTAGGTGACCTTGGCTGGCTCAGTTCCCTCATCTAAAACTCCAGAACAAGATGAGTCACAATGCTCAGAACAGTGCCTTGTGTGTAGCCAGTACTATAAAAGTGTTAGCTATTATTGTTACTACTGTTTTTTTTGTTGTCACTGCCAGGGCAGTTTAGGCAAAAAGACTAAGTCAGTTGTTCCCCCTTTTTTAAGCAGGGCAACTCCTTTAACATAGAGACACATCACAGACCCACAAACTCTCCAGGTTGATTGAGCAGACACCTGACAAAAATGTTACTGTGGATTCACGTAAGAAACTGTTTACTTCAGCAGCATCTATATACAGTTTGGTCATTCTCTTTATTCAGTGTAAAGACAATGCTTGGCTTCCCTGAGGATTTGCAGACCCCTGCCATCAGCCTGAGCCGTGCTTCCCACTCCTCTCGAAGCCTGAGTTCTCCAGGTGTGCCCGTCGCTCCGGTCACACAAGCTGCCTCGCACGGCCCCGGCACAGCCTGGCCTTTCAGCTTCCTGCCCTACACACCGCTCCACCCACATCAGGTGCCTTCTGCTTCTCTATCTAGAGCATGGAGATGCGAATGCTAAGAAATTCATCTTAACCCATGAAATGAAGCATTCCCTAGAGTTGGCTAGTGAGGAATCTGAATGTTGGCACACCAGCCAATTAGGCACACTGCTCAACGAGAGTGAAGAACAGGTATGATTTTAGAAAATTAGTTAGAAACTGGAAAAGTCAGTTTGAGATGCAATGAGAGGGAGCTGTTTCAGCAGAGCTCAAGTGGCTGGGGGAGGTGTCCATGGAAGCCACAGTCAGACCCTCAGGGGCATGAGCAATGCCAGCAGGCATCCAGAGGGCAGATCAGCCAGCAGGACCACCAGGCACTGATCAAGCTGGGACAGAAACACCCAGCTTACACCAGCCCCAGGCTCCATGGCAGGTGCAAGAGCCACCTCAGGGCTCACTGGGGAACTGGCTGGCCACCCCTGAGGCTACATCAGTGAGGACGGGAAAGGGCCCACCCTGACCCAAGAGCCTCCTCCACCAGGGTCCTTGGCCCACAGCCCTCACCAGAGACCCATGGGCCCTCTTGCTGAGCGGCAGTGAGAGGGTGCAGAGAGACTGAGCCTTTTAACCGAAATATGCTCAACAGCTCACTGAAAGGACTTTTAAACTTACTTGATTAGAATGATTTTACTGAGTAGGTTAAAAATACGGGGCTTCTTTCTTTCTCTTTCTTTCTGTCTTTCTTTTTTTCTTTCTCTCTTTCTCTCTCTCTCTCTCTCTCTCTCTCTTCTTTCTTTCTTTCTTTCTTTCTCTCTCTCTCTCTCTTTTTCTTTCTTTCTTTCTTTCTGACTATCCATCAGGATGGAGGCTTATGCAGAGAGCAAACAATAGCCTGCTTAGAGGAAAATGAAGAAGCTACACTTTTCTTTATACACGTCTGAGTGTGGCAAGCATGGGTTTAATTTTGGCAATCCTCTACAGCTCTTTTAAAAACAACATAAATGCTAATGGTCCTATAACTGGTGAAATTTAGTTTTATGTGTGTCAGGTTCATAAACTCAGCTATTCAGAGTACCCCCACACCCACCTATAACGGTGGCCAAGTTGAAACAGTGAAGCTTGCTCAGAGCCTAAATTCTCAAATGGGTTGGTGTTAGAGAGAGATGTCTCATTAGGCCTTTAGCAATTATTAGATGGACTTTCCCTAACTGTTACTTCAGCATTCCTACCACCACCCTGCCCCCTGCCTCCCCCCAAAAAAGAGGTAGAGAACAGTACATTTGAAATAACTAGATTTGGATTTCAGTTTGATTGAGATACCACGTCTGTTATTTTTTCCCCCAAGAGAGAATACCCTTGACAACCGATTCACTCACTTCTTTCAAATTACCTACTCAGTTTGGATATAAAAGTTATTTTGTATGGAAGATGAATTTTGTTGTCTTAAATTAGCCTTGAAACCTGCAGCAGCTCCATTTTCTTTCCTGCTTTAAACATTTGTTTTAAATTGGGAAAGAAAAGACACTTTTCTTTTTTAAAAATGCATTTGTACAGAACAGGTTGTGTTTACATGGAGACATTAAGAGGTTTCCTCACATAATTTTAAAGACAGAGAAAAGATAGCAAATTAGAGAGGCCTAATGGCGAACTGCAGAGGCCAACCTTAACAGCCTTCAGATATTAAAAAGGTTATTAAAAGGATCACAAGACTGGGTTTTCAGCTCATGAATGGTCAACCTAAGTTAATGAATCAAGTCGATGTTAGAGGGCACTTCAGGAGAATGGACTAAAAGTAATGGGTAACGTAGCAGAGTGGATAGGACTAAGAATGACAGAAAAATGAAAAAAAAATTGATACAAACACTAAGAACAGTTAAGTTACTACAAGAAATGCAGACACGGACTGGAGACATCACGGATGTGTTGCCGTCAGAGCAGGACTTGGGCTCCCCCTGGAGGGGTGGGTAGAATCTGACTCGACGGGACGGGGCAGAGGAAAGAACAGAGCACCGCTCGGGCACGGGGGATGGGCGGGCGTGGGCTGGGGGCCAGAGGAGCGCAGAGCACCCGATTCGAGCGGAAGTGAGGACGGGATCAGAGGCATCAAACCACAGGAAGGGCCGTGACAACGGAAAGAAGACAATGTCCCTGGGCATCTCTTTTTCTGAGTGCAATTTATTCCAAGGCTGCATAACCTAAGCCTTGGCTTTCCAAAATGTGATCAACTACAGAGAATATATATGTTCTCTGTCTCCAGAAGAGATGTGCAGTGGTTCAGTGATTTTACCTTTTTATAGTCAGTACTGGGACAGGCAGATCCCGAGCTTCGAATGACCACATTTTCCCAGAAGAATTACTACTCCCAAAGGCACGTGTTTGTGCTGACATAAAATTTTTGCCGATAAACAAGGCACGCTACAGGGATTCTCATCTCTAGGGATGACGCTGGTGTTAAGGGATCCATGTGACAAAAGACTGGAAGTATTCTGGACTACATGTTAAGACTCAAATTTTTAAAACCTCTGCATTCCTAGGACTTAGAGCAGACTTAGGACTTCCCTGTACACAGGGCTGCCTCCCTCCCGGGAGTCCTGATCTGCTTTCTGAGCGGAGGGGCGGGGATGCAGCTACAGCGTGAGGGCTGCTGGCAGTTGCGCCCGCGGTCCCGCTCACCTGGGGATGCCCGTGGGAATGCACCCAGGTCCATCGTGCGATCAGGGCAGGAGATGGTTAAGGCTGCTAAAGAATGCCGGTGCCCAAGCAAGCGAGTCACAGCCACCTCTAGCTTAAAAGGCAGACCACTCCTTCCCAGAAAGCCTGGTCCAGTTTATTGAGATGCTCCTTGACTTTTCTCAGGAAACTTCTGACCTATATTAAAAGCATCTTACACTAGAGAACATCCTCCATACTGAGACAATTGAGTGGGGAATTATATTTGAATTTGGTTTCACCGTTGCAAGGTCCTCTATAAACAGTGGTGGTGAATTCGCAACCGTTGCAGAGCCAGTCTAACATTTTTATAGCTTGTTTATAATGTCTCAGAAAGGGAAGCTGGAATGGCCCCCATAACCCCTGGGAACCTGGAAGGAGGTGTTAAAAGCATGGGCATTAGAGCTAGACAGACAGCACTCAAACCCTCAACACTCCACTCACTGCTTGTGTGACCCTGGGCATGTTCCCTGACTTCTGTGCTTCTGTTTCCTCACTTACAAAATAGGAAAATCAGTCGTAAGTGTCTTTAAGGATTCAACTTCATCGGAAGATGAAATAAAATGAATATAGAACATTTAGCATAGTTCCTGATATAAAATGTATTCTCTACAACCAGCTTTCCATTAGCACAAAGTCTCATTAGTATTCTGACATTTAGTTTTCCAAAAGCCTGCATTAACTGTTCAGCATTGTCATCTTTTAACAAGAGTAACTTTGTTATGGTTGTAGGTGTTTCTCAGCCATGACATGAGGACAATACTGTGTGCCCTGCTAATCTCATCGAACTGCAAGAGTCAGCCGTATGGGAGTGTATTCTGAACACTAAATGTGTAAAAGTCATTAACTGAAATTTTTAAGCTCCAATGCTCTAGACTGAAGTAAGCGTGTCATTCATGGTGTGGATAAACAAAGACATGTCAAAATCGCCATGTCATGACAAGTCCTTTTTCCCAAGCCTTCTCTAATGAGTTAATTTTAATTTATTTTAATCACATAGTGATTCAGTATCTTCATGTGATAATGACTCACGTGCTTTAATTCGCCAAACGTTGCTTCTAGATCATTTTCAGATATGCCTGTTGAGCTCTTTCTTAGGAAAGTCACGACTTGGGTAGTGGATAAGATATGAGATACTATTTTATTCTCAACTCAAGCCAAATCATGTTTATTACTAATTGAGGTCATCTACTCATACAGCAACAATTAAATAAGGTGGAGCATGGTGTGGCTGGCAAGGCATGGACTTCTGGAATTTGAATACTGATTCAGTCGTTTATGAGCTCATTTGATTTTAAAAAATTGATTTCACCTTTCTGAACTTGCAACTGAGAAATGGGACTAGAACCACCACCTTTTAAAGGAGACAGTAATCTTAAAGAGCAAAGCACAGTCCCTGGACACAGCAGCTGTTCTTAAAGTGAGAACAGTTCAACAACAGAACGGAACAGCGCCGACTTACAGCTCACAGATGCCAGCTCTGGTGGGGACGAGAGGCACGAGCTGCAGCAACAGTTTGACGCCGTTTTGCCATTCTTCTTCTCTCTCAAACTCACAGTACAAGTAGCTGCACTCATCAGATGAAAACTGGTAGAAAACATAGGTGTCTTGAAAGTATAAATGCTGGTCCACTGTTGGAAACAAAAAAGGTGTGGGTCAGTTTTTTTAAAGTGTATTATTTAGAGAGTTGTGAACGCAATACTAAATGGAAAGCACTACTAATTATTAGGGAGAAGCCAGGCATAGGACTATAATTATAGATCCTAAGTCCATTCATGGTCACAATCCCAGTGAATTAAAAAGGATTTCCTGAGTTCACTTATATTTTATAATTTTTCTGCTTTAGGGACAGGTGAAATTCATATTACTTCAAAGATAGAGGGAAGAAAAATTTTTTCAGTGTCTCAAAGAAAACTAATACATGTAATTACTTCAGTGTTACAAAAACAACACGATGTCGAGTTTCAATCAGTGGTTCTCAACCAGGGTGACTGCCCCCTAGGGAACGCTGGCAGTGTCTGGATATTTCTGGTTGTCAAAGCTAGAGGGTGCTAGTGGCATCTGGTGGGTAGAAGAAAAATGCTACTACACACTGTGTAATTGTAGGGGACAGTCCCCTACAACCAAGAATTATCTAACCCCAAATGTCAGCACTACCAAGGATGGGAAACACCGTTTTAAAGGAAGCAGAACTGGAGACTTTTCCAAAAAATATTACCACAATGTTTATATTAATGCTAACATTAACAAAATGTTGTGTTGAAACTCACAAGCAAGCTGATAACATTCCTCAAAGGTAGTTAACTGATTTTCTAAATAAGAATATCAAGTGCTAGGTATTGTTAACTCACTAAGATTAATTAGACCCAAACTTCCATCTGCACTGCTTTCCCACAGGGACTTGGGGTACGTCTTTCTACATTTCACTGTTCTCTGGCCCTCAGTATTTATTAACTGAAGGAAAAAAGGGCTCCCTAGTGACCAACCAGCACCTTTGTGACAGAGCTAAACAAAAAAATGCAGACTGCTTTACTCCTGTTCTTCAATTCACTGGGCTCAACAAAGAAAAGAGATATCTACCCTCTTGTTAGTTTCTAGTTAACATCAATTTTCTGATCTGCTTAAACAGCTAATGTTCATAGGTCATATCTCTTAACTGTTCATGATTAGTCAATCAAAATGGCATACACATTTCACTCATAAAATCAGTTTCTGATGATAGTTCTAAGTACAGCAAGATAAATCACAGATTTGGGGCAACTAAAGGTGTCACTAATTTAAAAAATAAAATTGTAAGCAACAGTTTCAGTAGAGAAGAGGGGTATGGGTTGACATCTATGAATCAGCAAGTACCTAATTATTTTTACAAAAGTTGTGAGAGAAATAACAATAAAAAGATGACCTGTCGTTTCTATTTCTAAAATAAGAGAGAATGCAAATATTTACCTGCAATAACAATTTCTATCCAGACTGTAACATCCTCTAGAAATTCAAGTGTATTTTGGTCTGGGTAGCTTAATAAAATAATGATCCTGCGCCTTCAAAACATGCGATACTAACCTGATGACAAAATCCCCATATCCAGTAGGAGCTGCCAGACCCCGATGGCCATAGACCTGCACTGGACGAAAGGACAGTGTTCCAGGAGCCAGTCTACCAGCTCTGACCCAACGCAGCTTCTCCTGGACAAACACAAAGCCATTCACCTAAGACATTGTTGCTACTCATTTGCAAAAAAAATTGATATTTAATACCCTCCCTCTCATGTGCTTGCTTTTTTAAAAAAGTGACTCAATAATAAATGACATATACCTCTTATTCATCTTTCAGATATCAGCTCAAAAACATCACTTCCTTAGAGAACTGGACTCAAATCCTCTTATACTTTTTCTTCATGTCACCTAACATTTAATAAACATGTATCTTTTTGAATGAATAATATCTGCTTTCCCCACTTAAGAACAATTTTCAGGAGAACAAGGACTATGTATAACTCACTATTAAACCCCAATAACTAAGACAGTCCAGGTAAACAGTAAGTTCTCAAAATACATAAGTTTGAAGAGATGAAAATACATGTTTAGCAGTTCTTTATATAAAGATAATGCTTCTGCCTTGGTAAGACAAGTACCTCAAATTGGTGGTGATAAACTTGGGTTTAATCATTCATATATATTCATCTCATCTCTTTAATAAGAACAAAATAATTCCAAGAGGGTTAGACAAAGCTGGGACCAGTGAGTGGAGTAGAATTTTGTTTGCTGCTTTTCAAACATTAAACCCTAAAATTTGTCTCAAAGAACAATAAATCTGACTGCGGGTCTTTTTAGTATAATCTAAGCAATCTAGCTAAGCAACCTCGATCTTAAAACCCATAAACCCAGATGTGTGAGAAGGATTCCACTAACCATACACACATTAAATATTCTCTGTAATCTATCTTAAAATATACAACTATATTCAAAGAATGTTTCAATCTTGGCATTATGAAAAGCATCTTGATGCCTACTTTTCCATCGTTATCAGTCTGTGATGAAAAACCAAAAGAAGAAACCGTTCTGAAATAGTTTTTCATTTGCAAAAATTTCATTGAATCCCACTTTCCTTTATGAGAAACTATCACCAAAACGGTTTTGTAAAAATGATGTATCATGTAAATGGCTATGTTTATTCTCTATTCAGTATTTAAGGACCAAAAGATGTCAACTTTATCTGTATTCCTAAAAATATTGCCTATCTCCTGTGCTTGGCATAGGCACAAATACCTAGAAATCACACAGTAACCAACAATACAGAAAAATCCCATGAGGCGCAACATTTTCTGGGAAAAAGAAAATAATAAGTATTTCTGCTGAGATATCTGATCCAATATTCTAGCTGTTGACAATGCATCACTTTTTTTTTTTTTTTGGTAAAGTGTCACTATTTGAAAGATACTCTAAGGCAATTAAGGCAATGCTAGACATGTTTAATTGCAGGTTAGCATTAAGAGATTGAAAAGATTAACAGTCAAATAAACAAATGTTTTTTTAAACAAAATGAGAAAACAGATCACAACAAAATGGGCAGTTAGGCCAATATTAATTCCTAATTCTACAGGACACCTTTCATGTTAAAGGCTCAAAGTGTTAATTAATACCTCAACACCTCTGTCAATTAACCAGCATCTTCAAACTAATTGCTCACAGTAGTTATCACATAGATTAAACACTGTATCATTTTTAATCATTATTCTCAGAACAATACAGCTCCTCAGCCTACTCTGTCATACGAAAGGACACAATGAAACATTTACTGAATAAACTAAACTGCCAAATTGCAAAAGGTGTCTAGACAGAGGCAGGTGCATGTTTGTTCACAGGTCACGTGGAAGAAATGTCTCAGACCAGGGCTTCTCAAAATCCTGTTCAGTCATTACCTGGGGGATCTTGTTGAGGTGCAGATTCTGAGGCAGTATGGCTGGGCGGGGCCTGAGAGTCCTCAGTTCTGATTGACAGCCTGGTGAGGCTGGTGACCACAAACCCCAAGCCCCGCCCCCCCCCGCCCCCCAGCTCTTCTCTGTCATGGGAAGAGCACAGCCTGTATGTGGGGCAGGGCTGAGTCCATATGCTAAAACACAGTACTGCCCTGGTATTATTTAATAATGAGGCAAGCTGCCTCTGCATTTAACTCACCCTCCTCTGACTTCTGACCAGGCCTGCGACAATCTGGTTAAAATACCTAAATCCACAGGATTTAGGGGAGAGCAGTGTGCGAGAAAACAGAGATGGTTGGAAGGGTGCAATCTGAATACCGACAGCTGCTCCCACTCCCAGCGTGCTTTCAGTTTTGTACTGAATTCGGACTCTGTTCTAAGGACATTGGCTCTAACCACAGCAGCACAGTAGGTAGGAACGCTGTGATACAGAGGTGATTAGCAACCAGCCTATAATGCGATAATAAAGCATTGTTTCAGCAATCTCTGAAGTTGAACATTTGATATCTGTTAGCTCCCTTCTGTCTCTGGTTACATTTTTAGCAATTAATTCATGGTCGTACAGAAACAACCCTCATTTTGAATATAGTAAAATGGGGCGATAGTATTCAGAGACCAGTTTTGAAAGTAATCTCATGCGTGCATGGGGGATACTTTACTTCACTTTAATACCAGACATAAGAAAATGATCCATACTGGGCCATCATATTAGCACTTTGTCTTTATACCCAGAACATTAATCAGTCCTTAAATTCTAAAAGAAAGGAGGTTCTGGCCTGGCCATTAGGAATCTGAAATAGCAAATCACATGCTCTCCCCTATTCTAGGCCCACCAGTGTGTTCTAATTTGGATGGATGGTTCTTTTCCATGAGCCTGACTCATGTACATCTCTCAATTCTTTTTTCAATCTATATCCATAGAGATCACATAAAGAAACAAAACAGAAAGTGAGAGATGTTAGACATAGCCTTATGTGGTAGCTAAAATGAGTCCAGTGAGCTCGCACACAACTAAACCCAAAGACTTATACAGTTTTTGTTTAAAAAAAAAGAAAAAAGTAAGACACGTCTAAATTTAGTTAAAAAATGTTTATTCTGGGACTCTTTCCCACTTTTTTTTTTTTTTTTTTTTTTGCTGTCATTTATGCTGAACACTCTTCCTATTCTTTATGGTATTATAATCTCATTTCTATAAGAAAGAATAATGGTAATAAATGATAGTTTTTCTTTCTGCTGTATTTTTGTAGTTTTCTTTTGGTATTGTTTGGTGTGGTTGACTATCTTCACGTAAAATAAAAACAATAAAATTATGAAAATAAAAAGGTGAAAATTCACTTTTGTCTTTTCTGTAGACTATACCAGAAAATGAAAACGTGTTCCAGACTTTCTAAGTGACCACTCTCTCGGTCCAGCTGTACTTGAAAAATGGCCACTAACCCTCCCACGCACCCTAATGCCTCCGCCCTCCTGCACCAGCCTAGGCCTAGAAAGGCTGTCCCCATGCCAACGGGCCCCGCCCCCTCCGCGCCACACCCAGGCAGGATGCTCACGCCCACCTGGCCAGCGGAGCCACAGTTCTCTCAGCCCATGGACCTCCAGGAGTCCTCCCCGAGCCTTGATACGGCCCCTGCAGAGGGGACCTATATTTATTGACGTCCCAGTGCAGCACGTGCCCAGTAAAATTATTATATATATCCCATCTCAGGGAAAGCAGAGGCTTCTCAAAGCCACCCACACTTGCAGACGCCAGACGCTAACTTCAGAGCCAGGAGGCCAACTGTCAAGAAACCCTTAGCTCAGCTTAAAGAAGAGATCAGTCCCCACCAATGTCCCCAAAGGACATTTTAAACAGACTGACCGACCCCTCCTACTCCTGATATAGCCTGTCTCTCTGTGACCAAGGTTATGATTTTTACACAGGTTTTTTTTTCCCCCCCACAAAGAATTTCTGCCTAGGTGTTAGAAAACTGTTTTACCTGTAAAATCCCTTGAGATTCACTCTGTCCTTTATCAGGTCAGCTGCCTGAACGATAATAATATTCCTCAGTGCTCTTCCCGCACATGACGAATTCTCCCCATAAATCTAAGTGGGAAAAACAAACATTCACTGTGAATTCAGAACAACAATGCAACACTTTGTGAGCACACTCTATGTAAAGAATCACGATCAAACCCATACGCTTAAGACGCTTAGGGAGCTACAAACACAATCACTTATTTTATTTCACTTTTGCTATTGGTTCATTTATGCTATGAAGCTATAACAGCTATTTTCCATATGGTAAACTGCTTTAACTATAATTATAAGTAATCTCCTTTTACACAAAGATGTAGTGTAAAATATCCTGTTTTTAAAAGCAAAGCATTTCTATCAATATAGCAAATCGAAGAATATTTTTATTATAACTCTGTCATATGAATAACACATTCCTGTAAAGGTCAGAAGATGGAAAATAATTGCTTCCTATCAGGTGACCGTCGCACGGCGGCGCGATTCGATGGCAGGCTGCCGTCTCCTTCGCTTTTAAGCTTCACTCAGTGGCAGAGTTCACAGTGAATTCCAACAACCCTGATTTCGTTAACCCCACGATTCCATCTAGCAGATCCAAATTTTATTTAACTTCTTGTTTTTAATCTTCTCATTTGCCCATGAGTCTCTGATTCTTGAAGGATGAAGTAGGGTATTCTTTAGATCCAGAGAGGTCTCTATCCTTTACCGCTCCTTCCTTTCCCCACAATCAGCCCCGCCTCCCCTGCCACCACCTGGGGGCCGCACCCCGCCCCGCCCTGCCTCCACGAGGCTGCTGCGCATTTGACAAAGGAGGCTAAGTGACAATGAACTGTCTTCTTAGGTGAAGTTTCATGAAAATTAATACATAGCGGGGGTACGTGTTCACATCGTTTCCTTGTTTCTTTTCATTTTTAATTATTTATTTATATTTTTTTTGTTGACACTAGTATAGACGTCCCCGTTTTCCCCCATTTACTTGTTTCTTGGTGAATTCTTTCTGCACCTACAGAATTTTGTCTCTATAAAATATACATATCTTCTCTTAAGGCAAACAAATTGATAATAGATTTGATTATAACTTGATATAACTTGACAGCGAACAGTTTAACCCTATCCTTATACTTCTTTAATATTCCTGTTATTGCCTCCTAAACACAACCTTATGAGAAACTGAGGACAGAAAATGATTTATTTTTAACATGTTAAAACTTAAAAACAAGAAAAAAGAAAAACCCAAACAATAAAACTTGAACAAGTCAGAAGACAGGAACTATTATCATAAGAGAAGAAGTCAGCTGACACCTGACTAGTCCTGACATGGTACCAATACTTGGTCATGCAGTCATTCAAAAACAAGGAAACATGTAATAAGCAGTTCTCAGGCCTCAAGCGAGGTGATGGGGACACAATAATGGAACAAGGCCAAAAGGGCCTGTGTTCTCACAAAGATCATGATCTCCTGTTAACTTAAAATACAATTCTGTTGACTGATTCTTTAACACAATACAAAAACATCTTTTCTTACCAATTAGCATACAGTGATATTCTACTATCAGTATAAATAACCCCCTTGGCAGTATTCATTGTAAAATATGCACTATTTGTAAAATACAGTGTTTCCATGCAGAAAATTGAAAATATTTCTATTACATATTAACTCGGCTACGTTGATAATGCATTCATGCAAAGGACTTGGCAGATGGGAAAAGACCTTTTTTCCTATCTAGTGAACGTCTTGAATTATGACACAGTTATCAGGACATGTCCTCTCACTGTGTCTGCGTCATCCCAGGCGAAGGAGATGGCAAGATCAGGAGCAAAGGGGACAGCTGCAACTAGAGAAGTCTACATACGGATCAATGTTTCAGTAAAGACAGTAAGAGAGAAAAGATCATACCTGGGAAGAAGAATGTTCGAGGTATGGATTGGAAATTCTTCTCGAGAGAGTCTATTTTAAAAGAAAAAAGGAACAAATTAGAACCCAACAGAACACATTGCACCATAAGGGGGCACTTTATGCAACAGCAGGAGACCCAGTAGTTAACTGCCCATGACAAACGGTAAGCTTAAATCTCAAGCCAAGGGCCACAGAAGACTAACGTCCTTACTCTCACTCAATGTAAATACTGCCTGGGCAACATTCACTCCAACCGGACAACATTTGCCATTTGAACGGCTCTCGATCCATAAAGTACAAATGTAAAAAGTGCAGCAGAAAAACTGGGATGTGTTTGTACTTGTCACTTTATTCTTAATGTGATGTTGCTTCCACTTCTCCTTTCCTTTACACATCCACTCCCCGCAGTCTAACTTGGGCTTGCATCCCCACCCGCCTGACCTGCTGCTTCAGCCTCGCCTTGGACCCCGCTGCTCTCTAGTCATACCCTCTCAGGCCATGCTGCAATCCCCAAATGAACAAATGTCTCTAAATTGTCCCCTCAACTCATAGCGGCCGTTATTGCGTACGTGCGTCAATCCAACTCCCAGCCGGCCCTACTGGGCCTACCACAGTCTGCGGCCGACAGGTTTCTAGTGTTCACTTCCCATCTCCCTGCCCGGCACCTTGATTTTTCAAGACGCACTCATCGGAAGGGCCTGCCTCTCATATGCTGCCTCTGCGCACACCATTCTCTGCGTCAGACTCCCCGGATGCTTTCCCGAACGCCACCAGGCTCTGAAGGCCAGGTTCCTGCAGTCACCTCCGACCCACCCCAGTCCACTCGGGTTTGTCCATCTCTGTTGTTTTGACTGTTCATGAGGCAGCTCCTGGGTGGTCTGCCTAGTTGGTTGTCTTGTTGTGAGTGCATTTGCCCCAACTAATCCATAACCTCTTGGAGAGAGCACTGGCAATGTATACAGCTTTGCTTTCACAGCATCTAGCACAGCAATGTTTATTTTTCTATTCATTTGTGTGTAGATATTTATCTCTCTCTGTCAGTAATATAGGAGCTAATATTTCCAACCTAACAATCCAGTAAGCAGCACCATCACCCACGCATCCTTAAGGACAATGGAAAATTATTCCCATTTCCCAGGGCAGTATAGGAAAAAGAATAGAGGAACTGAGCTTTCAACCTATGTTTTAAAAGCTTCTTACACCTCTAATTCCTAGGCTTGCTGTCTTTTCAGACCCCATAGTTTTTAGTCTGCTGCCTCCACTTCCTACAATTTGCTAAATTTACAAAACATACCCTGCCAATCATCGCTTTCCGGCATCTGAACCTTCCAGAATTTGATGTAAGACAGAATTCCCATTCTGCCTCTTATGGACTCCACATGCCTCCCACACTACTTATCTTCTGCTTAAACTAAAATAGATAAACAGACTCTTTATCCAAAAATGCCAGTTGGTACACTCTGTTATAGATTTGCAATGCCTTCAAAGAAAATGGAATTCATAAGGTAGGCAGGCCATTTTAAATTTCCATGTATAAATAAAATGTCCACCTACCCCTTCTGGTCTAGTCTATACACACTCCAATTGGCTCTTCCTGGGCCTCTGTCATCCAAGCCTTGGTAATGTATTCACTTATTGAAACGCTGAACAATTTAAAATTTGTATATGCACCAAATTTATAATTTGAAGATGATTCATCATGATAAGTGATTTTTTCCCCCTCTCAACAGAGAGACTTTTAAAAATCAATATGGCAGGCCAGAACTGACAATCTTTATTACTCATCTAATTGCTTGAATCAGCTCAGAAAAGCAAATACTTCCTTTGATCTAGTTAAAAAGAAAGTGTTTAGGTAGAAACAAGTTCCAAAGAACCAGGCAGGGGCACTTTCACAAAAGAAAGCGAATCACTTCCTTTCTCTCCGCCAACCTGAATAATCTGCCTCTCTCAACACTAGTCTTACACTCACACAATCCCACTTCACAGCAACTTCCCCCCTGGATGGCCCGTTTGAAAAGACAGGTAAATTGAGTAAATAAAGCAAAGAGATTCTTCTACGCTGACTAGATAACAGCCTTAGATAAGCTATAGCCCAGAGGGAACCCACAGGAGGGGAGAAGCACTGCCCCCCCCCAGGATACTATAGCTAGGTCCCTCGGAAGGAACTCCCGTGAAGCCCCCTCAGACCGGACCCAGGGCGCTTTGTTTCATCAAGGCTCTGAGGCAGCAGCTCTCGGACTCAGCTGAGCTGGGGGAAGCCACAGAGCTCTCTGCAGAACCCTGCAAAGTACTCATTATTGTTAAACTTAAAATAACTACCATAACGCTGTACTTTTTTTAGAGGCCACTCTATGTAAGTTGCTGTAAAAGTAGCAAGTGCCAAAGACTTAACACAAGAAGAACATGGAGGAACAGTCCATCTGTTACCTCCTTTTTAATAGGTATTGGGAAGGACGGCTGCCTAATTTTATCGGGGGAGCGCCGTGGGCCAACTTACAGGAACCTGAGAGTCCCTGCTCTAAATCACCCACAAACTGCCCTCGCAGCACCTACCTGAAGGGGTAGTACAAGAACCCCCTTGAAAATGCACCTCTCTCCTTTTCAATATGCGTTCTCTAATATATAGTGTAAAGTACTGAGCTGTTTTCGTCCTGTCTTTGAATCCCTTGGTTTTATTTCTCCTCTCAGGATTCCAGAGCTTCATCTAATTGCTCCTATGGCCACTAACTTCCGTTCATTTCACAACTACTTACGAAGCCCCTCCAGAGCTCCTCGCCAGGCACTGCGGGAGCTTCCACAAACGTACATACAAACACAAACAATATTGGTTCATCCCTAATTTAGGAATCCACTCACCAGAAGACCTGAGACCTAAAGAACACTGTAAACCCATGGATTCTCTTTCTGGAGCCCAATTTCCTATCAATTTCCTCTATAATCTTGGATGACTGGTCCAACTGATGGAGGGTGGCCCGTTTTAAATGGCTCTCACCCTCACACGTCATAAACACAGTGCCCAGGCAAGATAATGATTCTTCCCCGCCCCTTATTTCCAATTTCCTAGAATGACTTATGTTGGATGTAACGATTCTTTTATGAAAGACATACATACACCATAGAGAAAAGACTGCTAACACTACAAATAAAATTAGATTTTAATTCAAATTTATTTCTTTTCCTTTCCATTTTAATAAACCATGAAAAAGGATTCCCTAAATGATTCTAGGCAAGCCTCATATTTTAAACATATATTAAAAAATTACGACCCTTTAATATTCACAAATGAACTTCCAGGCAAAAATAACAGCATAACTCAAAAGAATAATTGGTTAGCATACATTACCTTCATGGTTTTTTAAAGTTAGGTGTCCACTAAAGTTAAACTGTAATATCTATGGAGGCTGGGTCTGAACCAAGCATGGAACTTATTACAGTCACTGAAAATACCAATAAACTATATGATAGACTTAAGGCACATTTTTTTATCAGCTTTTAAAGGACATGTCTTAATACTCTCCTTTTATTGAATTAAAGTACTCAAGCTACCAAGGGGAGGGAGAACTAAAAGGATAAAGGCTGAATCACCTCAATCACCAAAGAAAGAAGCATGACCCGCTCTACTACAAACAGGCACCAATAGAACCACCAAGTTTATTGATAACTTGAGAATTCAGTTCATGGCACAACTTTCTGTCACCTTTCGCCACTGTCCTTTTCCCATTCCGAGTGATCAAGTAGAATATGAAGATGATAAGGTAGGATAAGTATACTTAGATTTCTTACAATCCTAGGAAGACATAAAGCTCCGTAGGTAACTGAAGGGCACATATCTTAAGAGATCACAGACTAAAACAACCGAGCCTATGATCTAGCAGGCTGTCCAGTCGAGTGCCAAGACCATGGGTTCTTTTTAAGGCCCGGGATACACTTACATCTCAATCAAAGCTTGATCAAGGTTGAAAGGGCAGAATCCTAGCCTAGCATGTTGGCTTGAGATTTCCATGGTCATCACAAGTTAAGCACAGGCAATGCCAACTGGAGACATGAACCCAATGATAAAATGGAAAGGCAGGTGGTTCAACCATGACTCCCATAACCATTTCCCCAAGGAACGTGCTCCAAACAGCCAGTCACAGCCACAAAGGCCACTTGTAATATCGTCTCAGCACAGTCTGGCCACAGCCATGTCCATGATGTTCTTGAAATTACATGTTTCTATTGCTCTAGGATGAGTTTTAAAAAAAAACGGAATGAAAGGGACAGTGACAGAAAGGCCTACTGCGCACTTCCCTCTCCTTGTCTTAAGCACCTTCCCACGTCAGTAACTGCACTCCCCTACTCATATTTTTTACGGACAAGAGGCCTGAGGGTAAGGGAAATTAAGAAATTTACTTAGGTCCCAGAGCTAAAAGTTACAGAGCCAGAACTGAAACAAAAGTGATGGATTCCAAAGCTACCACTCTCCTGTAACACGCTGCATGTCATTAAATCATAATCGAAAGTATGTGCTAGAGGTTGTGTTAAATATTTTACATGCAACATATCACTTAATCCTTGAAAAAGTGTGAAGTGGGTACTATCATTAACCCCCTTTTAACAGACGACAAAACTAGACTTAAAGAGGTTAAGAAATTCACCTGAGTTTGCAGCTTAAGCCTATCTTTAGTTACTGCCCCATATATATATATAGATATAGATATAGATATAGATATAGATATAGATATATATCTTCTAACTTAGAAAGTGGTGATTTGAGAAGAAAATGACAAGCAAGTACACCTAAGCATGAAGAAGTCACAAGGAGTAGCTGCTAGATGCAGGGGTTCTCAACCCTGGTTGTGAATTAGAACTATCTGGGAAACTAAAACAAACAAACAAACAAACAAATAGGTGTTTAGGTCTCACCCCAAACCCACAGAATTAGAACCTCTAGGAGCAGAGCCTGCTGGGTTTGGGCCAGTCTCCCCAGGGAGTTCTAACCCAGGTTTGCGGAAAAACTGTCAAAATCAGTGGTTGAAATTGGCTGTTTGAATCTCATCATCCAC